CTTGCTCAGTCTATTAACTGACAGCAACGTGAAAGCTTTTTGTTACAACTGTTGGCAGGACTATTAACTTTTACACAGGGTTGACTCGAAACCTTCATGCTCAATTATTCGGCGCAGAATCATCCCTATTTTAGGCACTCACTGGTGTAAACCATTAAAATCACACCATCTCCAAGCAACGGTTCTCTCTGCAGGCTACTCAAAAAGTTAGGCTGGTAACAAAATGGCATTCTGCATCTTATCTGCATTCATAACAAAGACTTGATCACCCAAAAACAGAATCTATATTAAATATAAATCACTGACAACTTTCTATTTCATACCAACATCAACACAAACAGAGACTGGCTAAGAAAAATAATGTAGTACAATAAGCAAAATATAATGGAGGAGAGGGGTTTCATGAAGTAAGGACAAAAATCACTTAGGGCTTTTCGATACGGACTGCTAGTGCGCAGAAAGCTAAAACAGCAATAGGTCCAAGTGCACTACACATCTTTTAGCATGCAGTAGCAGGGCTCACATGACCTGTTAATGCACAGCATGCTGCACCACTGTCAATTTACACCACAGTTTGCCATGTACTAACTCTCTGTATAGACATGCTTTACTTAAAAGCTGACAGTCCCTAGGATTTTAGTGGTTTTAACCACATCTAGAAAAGGAGGACTTGTGGCACCTTAGAGACTAACCAATTTATTTGAGCATAAGCTTTCGTGAGCTACAGCTCACTTCATCGGATGCATACTGTGGAAAACGTAGAAGATCTTTTTATACACACAAAGCATGAAAAAATACCTCCCCCCACCTCACTCTCCTGCTGGTAATAGCTTATCTAAAGTGACCACTCTCCTTACAATGTGTATGATAATCAAGGTGGGCCATTTCCAGCACAAATCCAGGGTTTAACAAGAACGTCGGGGGTGGGGGGGGAGGGTTAGGAAAAAACAAGGGGAAATAGGGTTACCTTGCAGAATGACTTAGGTTACCTTGCATAATGACTTAGCCACTCCCAGTCTCTATTCAAGCCTAAGTCATTCTGCAAGGTAACCTATTTCCCTTGTTTTTTCCTAACCCTCCCCCCCCACCCCCGACGTTCTTGTTAAACCCTGGATTTGTGCTGGAAATGGCCCACCTTGATTATCATACACATTGTAAGGAGAGTGGTCACTTTAGATAAGCTATTACCAGCAGAAGAGTGGGGTGGGGGGAGGTATTTTTTCATGCTTTGTGTGTATGAAAAGATCTTCTACACTTTCCACAGTATGCATCCGATGAAGTGAGCTGTAGCTCACGAAAGCTTATGCTCAAATAAATTGGTTAGTCTCTAAGGTGCCACAAGTACTCCTTTTCTTTTTGCGAATACAGACTAACACGGCTGTTACTCTGAAACTTGTCCACATCTAGACATCGTAATAGGAAATTCAGATCTTTGAAGTAAAACCAGTATATGCTGTCCATAATGCAGAGTACTACAGGTCAGAATGAAAAAAAAATCAAATACATGAATACAAAATTAGCAATAACTGGCTAGCCAGTTGAAAAAGATCTGGGGGTTATAGTGGATCACAAATTGAGCGAGAGCCAACAATGTGATGCAGGTGCAAAAAGGTGAATATAATTCCAGGAGGTAACTGTCCTGCTCTACTTGGAGCCACTAAGGCCTCAGCTGGAGACCTGTATCTCGCTTTGGGCGCCACACCTTGAGTAAGATTTTGATAAACTGGAGAGAGAGTCCAGACGAGAGCAACATAAATGATAAGTGGTTTAGAAAACCACACCTATGAGGAAAGATTTTAAAAAAACTGGTCATGTTTAGTCTTGAGAAAAGACGACTGATGGGGAACCTGATAAGTTTTCAAATATGTTAAGGTCTCTTATAAAGAGGACAGTGATAAATTGTTCTCCATGTCCACGGAAGGAAAGACAATCAGTAATTAGTTTAGTCTTCGGTAAGGGACATTTAAGTTAGTTGTTAGACATTTTTTCTTAACCATCCAAATAGTTAAGCACTGGAATAGGCTTCCCTGTGACTGAAGGTTTTTAACAACAGGTTAAACAAACACCTGTCAGGGATGGTCTATGTATACTTAGAATCACAGAACTGGAAGGGACCTCAAGAGGTAATCTAGTCTAGTTCCTTGCACTCAAGGCAGGACTAAGTATTATCTAGACCATCCCTGTCAGGTGTTTGTCCAACCTGCTCTTAAAAATCCCCAATGATGAGATTCCACAACCTCCCCAGGCATTTTATTCGAGTGCTTAACTACTCTGACAGACAGTTAGGAAGTTTTTCCTAATGTCCAACCTAAACCACCCATGCTGCAATTTAAGCCCATTGCTTCTTGTCCTATCCTCAGAGGTTAAGAACAATTTTTCTCCTCCTCCATGTAACATTTTACATACTTGAAAATGTATGTCCCCTCTCAGTCTTCTTCTCCAGACTAAACAAACCCAATTTTTTCAATCTTCCCTCACAGGTCATATTTTCTAGACCTTTAATCACTTTCTCCAGTTTGTCCACATCTTTCCTGAAATGTGGAGCCCAGAACTGGACACAATACCCCAGTTGAAGACTAATCAGCGCAGAGTAGAGCGGAAGAATTACTTCTTGTCTCTTGCTTACAATACTCCTGCTAATACATCCCAGAATGATGTTTGCTTTTTTTGCAACCGCATTACACTCTTGACTCATATTTAGCTTGTGATTCACTATGACCCCCAGATCCCTTTCCGCAGTACTCCTTCCTAGGCAGTCATTTCCCATTTTGTAGGTGTACAACTGATTGTTCCTTTCTAAGTGGAGTATTTCACATTTGTCCTTATTGAATTTCATCCTATTTACTTCAGACCATTTCTCCAGTTTGTCCAGATCATTTTGAATTTTAATCCTGTCATCCAAAGCACTTGCAACTCCTTCCAGCTTGGTATCGTCCACAAACTTTATAAGTGTATGCTCTATGCCATTATCTAAATCCCTGATGAAGATATTGAACAGAACCGGACCCAGAACCGTTCCCTGTGGGTCCCCACTCGTTATGCCTTTCCGGCATGACTGTGAACCTCTGATAACTACTCTCTGGGAACGATTTTCCAACCTTATTGTAGCTCCATATAGGCTGTATTTCCATAGTTTGTTTATGAGACGGTCATGCAAGATAATATCAAAAGTCTTAAAGTCAAGATCTATCACATCTACTGTGCGCCCCCTATCCACAAGGCTTGTTAGCTTTCTTTGACAGGGTATCAGTTTGGTTTGACATGATTTGTTCTTGACAAATCCATGCTGACTTATTTATCACCTTATTCTCTTCTAGATGTTTACAAATTGATTGCTTAATTATTTTCTCCATTATCTTTCCGGGTACTAAACTTAAACTGATTGGTCCAATTCCCTGGGTTGTCTGTCCTTCCCTTTTTATAGATTGGCACTATATTTGCCCTTTTCCAGTCTTCTGGAATGTCTCCTGTCTTCCATGTCTTTTCAAAGATAATTGCTAATGGCTCAGATATCTTCTGAGTCAGCTCCTTGAGTATTCTAGGATGCATTTCATCAGGGCCTGGTGATCTGAAGACATCTAACTTGTCTAAATAATTTTGTACTTGTTCTTTCTTTAGACTCTGATCCTACCTCATTTTCACTGGTATTCACTGTTAGACATCCAATCGTCATCAATCTTCTTGGTGAAAACCGAAACAAAAGCAATTAAGCACCTCTGCCATTTCCACATTTTCTGTTGTGGTCTCCCCCCTACCCCATTGCGTAATGGACCTACTCTGTCCTTGGTCTTCCTCTTGCTTCTAATGTATTTGTAGAATTTTTTTTCTTGTTTCCTTTTAATGTCCCTCACTAGTTTGATCTCATTTTGTGTCTTGGCTTTTCTAATTTTGTCCCTACATACTTGTGTTGTTTATATTCATCCTTTGTAATCTGACCAAGTTTCCACTTTTTGTGGGACTGAGTTTTAGATCATTGAAGATCTCCTGGTTAAGCCAGGTGGTCTCTTGCCATACTTCAAACTATCCCACTGCATAGAAAAGAGATATTATTAAGGGCACAATAGCCTTTGAAAAACTGCCAGCTGCCTTCAATTGTTTTTCCCCTTAGACATGCTTCCCATGGGATGTTACCTACCAACTCCCTGAGTTTGCTAAAGTCTGCCTTCTGGAAATCCATTGTGCTGTTCTCCCTCCTACCATTCCACGATCACTTTCACCCAAGTTGACTTCCACTTTCAAATTCTCAACCAGTTCCTCCCTATTTGTCAAAATCAAATCTAGAACAGCCTCAGACTTGGTCCTGTCTCAGAGCAGAGTTGGACTAGTTGACCTATCCAAACCTCTTCCAGCCCTACATTTGTGTGATTTGATATTAATTTATTAGCATCATTTTGTTAACCACCTAGGCAACAATATCCAGTGGGTGGTATAAAGGACCAGGAGACAGCAGGCCCAAGTTCTAATCCCAGCTCTGCCACCTAATCATTGTGCAGCCTTAAGCAAGTCACTTCACTTTGTGTGTCCTTGGACTCCCCACCTGCAAAAAAACAGGATAATAATGCTTACCTACTTTTGAAAATTACGTTGAGATCTATGGATTAAAGTCACTATAAGTATTTTTTATTCCTTTTTTTATTATTAGAGGTTACAGAACAGCTGCAATATCTTCGAGGTTTTGGTTATGTGCTAGTTTCAATGTACTACAAACAAATATTTCTTTTTTCTACTGCTTGAAATGAGGGTTACAAGTAGCCTTCCCTTCACACAGGTAGACATAGGTACAGCTTTAAATCTACAGTTCACAGAAAATGTATCTGGAGCAGTATGGTGAGAAAGCTCGTATAAGACCTATATAATATAAACTATAGACTAGCATGAGCAAGAGTAGATAATACTGTCTTAGGTTTAGGAACAATCTTTTGTTGCTTAAACAACTGAATATATTTTGCTATCACATTCTTACAAAGATCCAGTTTTAAATTACTAACAAATTAACTTACCTTAGGGAATTGTTTTACTGGAATTAACACTTTCTGCCCCAGCTTCATATTTTTATTTATCACTACATCAATATACTTTTCTTCTTCCTTTCCTTCCCCTTTTTGGAATTTCTCAATTTCTGGAAAGAAAAGTACAAAAATCTGTTACTGATTTTTTTTTAAACTGGATATCATGTTCCCAAGTAGAGGAATAACTTATAGCAGCAAAAATTCCAAAACCAGGGTGTAACTTGTAAAATAGACTGACTTCTCTCCTAGGCTGCAATCTACAGCCACATATTTGAGTCAAGGTAATTTTTTAAAATACTTTATCTGTTACTATCAGCACTTTGGACTACAACTGACATTTAAGAAAATATAATTTATACCACACACTGAATCATTTATAAGACTTAGAAGTTACTCAGCTTGGACAATGAAATGTCTGAACTACCATTTTAGGGGGCTCTCCTGCATTTGCCTTATGTTGTTGCATGTTTCAGCTTCCAAAACTTCAAGTTTTAAATAAAAGGAAATCATTCAATGAAAACTCAAGAGCTCATGAGAACATTTCTATTTGATTTTATAAAACCCTTGAATTAAGAAAACAAATCTTGTAGCTTAAGCACAAAACAGTTGATTTGAAAAAAAACCTCTTTAAAGTGCTTTAATTTTTATTTATATATATGTGATGGAATGTACCTGGACTTTCCTTGGCTGTATGCCTACTACACCCTGCCCTAGAAAAGGGTGGCAAAGGTGGGTCCTCCAGGCCTGCCTAGAGAGGCCTTGTGGAAGCAGACAATCCGAACTCAGCAAGCTCAGCTACAAGACGCTGCAGGGCCTTAGCTGGTCAGTTCCTGGCTAGTGCTAGAGGGTACTCTGTTCTGGCCAGAAGATCTTGATGGGCTGTTTGCACTAAATCTGGGAGTGAGAGGACCTGAGAACTCTAACCCTAAGGTAAAACAGGTAGATGTAAAGGGATCAGGTGGGAAGAGGCCCAGGGACTGTAACAGCAACTAATTAAATGAAGCAGTATCTGTGTCTGCCTGCATTGGAACTTGAAATAGCAGGTGGACCCAGGTTCCCATACCAGCCACTGTCAAAGTGGCCTAAGCCCCCAAGAAGGGGACAAGGATCCTTTAGAAGCATGAGAGAAGAGCTGGATTTAAAGGGCCCAAAGATAGGAGGTGAAGACCCTGGTGAATGCATCCGATGAAGTGAGCTGTAGCTCACGAAAGCTTATGCTCAAATAAATTGGTTAGTCTCTAAGGTGCCACAAGTACTCCTTTTCTCTTTGCGAATACAGACTAACACAGCTGCTGCTCTGAAACCTGGTGAAGACAGTTTGGCAAATGCTTTGCTACCCCAAAAGGGCTCCATTTTGATGGTGTGACTTCGCCAGAGGGTCGAACCACTGAAGACCAGCTTAGTGAGGTTGGCAACCAACAGCAGGCTCCAGAAGTAGGGGAAACAATTACAGTACCACACCTTCCTGCTAGTGGATACTTCAGGTGAGTGCCCCATTACAATATTGTATATAGTTTATTTGTATTTAAATTCTCTTCTCCCTCCATAATTCACTCCCTATTCTCAACATACATTTTAACAAGAGTTGTAAAGGAGTTATAATTCTCCACTGTATATGTTTGACATCTACTTACACACATTACTGTTAGCCTCCAGATGAAGTAAAAACAGTCTTTCCAATGTTTAAAGCTACAAACTACCAAAACAAATAACCACATGCCAAGTCCAAAAGTCTAGGACTGAAGTTAAAGTACAGATGATAACATTCCTGTGGATGATGGTTAGAAACACATTCACTCTTCATGCTTTTGAACATCCTGAGAATGTTATTTCCACATCCACATCTATGGTCTCTCATTACGTTTTCCACATTACTTTAACACAGTCTCCTTTAAAACAAAGAGTAAAGCTTTGCATGTGCTTAAATCTTTGCAGTACTAGAGCCCTAAACCCTGATCCTGCAATATGTTAACCAGATGTGGAGTCCTGTGCCCACACAGAGCCCAGCTGATTTTAGAAGTGCTCCATACAGGCATAGGGTCCCCCTCCCCCATGATGTCATATTAAAAGATGAGGGGCCTTTGTCAGTAAACCGCTCTGCAAACTGATGGCAACTACCATGACTTTTGTTTGGGCTTGTCTATACTACTGCGCAGTAGTATAATCTAAAAATCACGTAGCTGAAGTTGCGTGAATAGCCTAGCTGAAGTTGACGTACTTAGATCTATTTACCACTGTGCCTTCAGTGCGGTAAGTATATAGCTGATGCTCTCCCATAGACTCCGCTTGTGCGCCTCATTCTGGTGGAGTACTGGAGTTGACAGGAGAGTGCTCAGCGGTCAATTTAATCGACCCCTGCTGCATCGATCGCTGCTTGCCAATTCGGTGGGTAGTGTAGACAAGAATCATAGAATATCAGGGTTGGAAGGGACCTCAGGAGGTCATCTAGTCCAACCCCCTGCTCAAAGTAGGACCAATCCCCAACTAAATCATCCCAGCTAGGGCTTTGTCAAGCCTGACCTTAAAAATATCTAAGGAAGGAGATTCCACTACCTCCCTAGATAACGCATTCCAATGTTTCACCACCCTCCTAGTGAAAAAGTTTTTCCTACTATCCAACCTAAACCTCCCCCACTGCAACTTGAGACCGCTACTCCTTGTTCTGTCATCAGCTACCACTGAGAACAGTCTAGAGCCATCCTCTTTGGAACCCCCTTTCAGGTAGTTGAAAACAGCTATCAAATCCCCCCTCATTCTTCTCTTCTGCAGACTAAACAATCCCAGTTCCCTCAGCCTCTCCTCATAACTCATGTGTTCCAATCCCCTAATCATTTTTGTTGCCCTCTGCTGGACTCTTTCCAATTTTTCCACATCCTTCTTGTAGTGTGGGGCCCAAAACTGGACACAGTACTCCAGATGAGGCCTCACCAATGTCGAACAGAGGGGAACGATCACGCCCCTCGATCTGTTGGCAATGCCTTTACTTATACATCCCAAAATGCCATTGGCCTTCTTGGCAACAAGGGCACACTGTTGACTCATATCCAGCTTCTCGTCCACTGTAACCCCTAGGTCCTTTTCTGCAGAACTGCTGCCGCGCCATTTGGTCCCTAGTCTGTAGCGGTGCACGGGATTCTTCCGTCTTAAGTGCAGGACTCTGCACTTGTCCTTGAACCTATAACAGCCCTTTGTCAACAGGAACAAAATTTATTGAAACACCTGTTAAAAGTTTATTCAACGTAGGCTTGATCCTACACCCACTGAATTAAATAGCAAAGCTTCTAATGACATCAGTCATGCAGGAACAGAGTCTTGTTTATTCCCCACATTTTTGCTTTGGGTCGACACAAAACTCTGAATTATTTAAAAAATGACTAAGAGAACCAGAGTGTCTTCAAGGTATGCTCTCACAAACTAATTTGTCTCCTTCACTGCTAGCAGAAAAAATTTAGAAGGAACTAAAACTAGCTCAACAACAAATCTATTCCTACTGGTAAATAGGCAGCTTTGGATCATTAGTAATTGATTTTAATGAATACCAAGTCATTCTTGTTCATCACTGCAATAAAATTTGAGGGACAGCTAACAGATCAATCAGCTCACATTTTTCCTCACTACTGAAATTTAACTGTTTTTATTTTTAGGATAGACTTTCACACAGCAAACAAAAAGTAAGAAATTAATACAGATAATAAGCATGAGTATGTATTTCCTATGACCCTAGAAATTAAACAAAAACAGGATTCACAAATGAAGATAAAAAAGTTTCTGGTAGGGTGTGCTTCTAAAAAGTTAATAAATGCAAAAATAAAACCAAAACTATTTTTAGATGTCACAAATATCTGTTGGCCATCTCTTTAATTTTAAAGTCCTAGTGCATTTTGACAACTGAGTCAAATGTAAAGTTAGCTTGAAATTTACTTTCAGGTGAAATTGACAAGAGTGTGTATCTACAACAGTTAGGAATTTAGGTTATACGAAGATTGAAGTTTAATGATCCATTTAAAGTTATAAAGCTTTTCCTTTTTATAGATTTATATCTCCAGTTCACGTCGAGTGTAGTACTCTCTAAAATACTAAACTAGCTAGAATGCCTTTTTCCAAGCAAGGTAAACTTGATTATAATCATCTATGTTATATATCGCTCAGCTAATAAGGTCAGCATATTACAAAACTTTTTAAGAGGCTGTTTACTCAATTAAAATAAATTCTGCAATATTTAATATGGAAAAAGTGGGAGAAAGTGTGTGTGTTAATTGCAACATCAAAAGACAACATACTAAAGATATATAGACTCCAGATAAACCCAAAGCTTTATCATTTAAAAGACTTTGGTTATTCAACACTGGTCCCATTTTACTGACATAACATCTCATGAAAGATCACAACACGTTGTATATTAATTGTTTGTAATATAATATTTTGCCTATGTATTTATTGCCTGTGATTGAAACAAATTAACTACAATAATAGAAATATATAAGCCTCAGATTTCATTATTTCCCATCCTTTGTATAACAATTTTTACTAGAAATTGCATAGAGGTGGAAAGTAAAACAAAAAAGTTTCCAAGGTACACTTTTACTTGTTTTATTTTGTTTCACGGAGATAAAAGCGCCACTCAAAATTGAGACTTCTGGGCACGTACTGTGCAGGAGTAAGTTAAATTTGCAGTGACTTCTGATTATGAAACTAACGTATTAATAGATTATATGTAAGAAACACATAACTTATTCTATGAATTAAAGTAAGTTTACTAGAAAAGAAATTATCTGGCATTGTTTATCTCTGCAGGTGAGCTAACCTGTAAACAGTCATGTTTTTCTTATTAAAAAGGTTTCTCATCTCAGCATAACCAAATAAAAACTGAGGTTTGTTTTCTTCTACTAATTAAAGCTGAAGTCATGCACTGTTGCACTCAATTGAACAGATGACTTAAGATTTATTCCTCTTTTCCCAGGGCAACAAGCAAATTTAACTAGTTCTAAACCAAATCAGAAAGGACTTTTAATAAAACTTTAAAATCTACTTTTGCAATGAATGGTGGTTCACTCTAGGCTTTTATGTACACTGATGGCAAAGAACAAAAAAGTCACACAACTGAAGATAA